TGCCTTAAGGTTGTATGTGGATACGATGGTTACCTTACCTAATGCCTAAGGCATTACAAGGTACCTACCTTAGGTAAGGTAGGTAAGGTTAGGTAAGTCCCCGAGGTCCTCAGGCACCTCAAACGTGCCTTAGGTACGGCGAAGTGAAGCAGGGTTACCTTGGGGCTGTTTTGGAAGCTGAGCCGCCATTATTTCGTTCCGTTGCCGTTTTTCTTATCTTCCAGGTTGCCTGCCTTGCAGTACCGTGGCACGGTAGCAGTTGCGCAGTGCTTTGCGTTTGCTGTGCTTCTGCGACGCATCAACCACCTGAGGGATGCATCTGACCTGGCCTTCAGGTACCTAGGTAACTGACTGAGATGGACCCCAACCACCAAACCCTGCCTAACCTGGCGCATTTTCCCATCGCCTCCCTGGAGTCGCCGCGTTCTCAAACACTCTTCTCAAACGTCCAAGCAAGCAGATAACCAACCCATGTAATATTGCCTTCCTTTGATCTCACGTAGCAGCACGAAGCCAGCGACTGCCTGCTTCCGCTCACCTGCTGAACGAGCACCGCTTTGAAGTTTTCAATTACTATATGTTCTACCACACAGCATGTCGACCAAACGCCTAGGAAATGATAATTAGGGGTATCAGCTGTGGCATTTACTTATCCTCTGCTTGGCCACCCGCGTCTCCGTGACCGCTGTCTTCAACTCTGGTAGCTTCTTCTATCAAGGTGGGCGGCTGCGCCCCGGCCTGGAGTTGAACCCGAGCCACATCGATTGATTCCTGGTTCTCCAGCCTCGATCCTTCATCCTCTCCAATTGTACCTCCGAGAGCCGCCAGCCGCGTCCTTTCTCTGATCCAGGCCGGCGGAAGACCAGGTCCGCTGTCAGCGTTGCCGTAGTCGCTCTTCTTGGTACCTTTAGGCCATCGTCCAGGCCCTCGCCCAGTCCCACCCGTCTTCCTACGCGACGATGACGAAGAGCTCTTGGGCCGGCTTGATGTTGGCCGTCTGACGCTGCTGCTGCTACCGGCCGGCCGTCGTGGTCGCGAGTTATTACTGTTGCTTCGAGGTACCGTCGGCCGCGTTACGCTAGACCGCGGCCGATCTGCACGACGGCCTCCAGGAGGCGGGTACACCTCGAACCTCGACGGCGGGACATCCCTGTACAGCAGCGTCCAGTTGTCTACGGAAAGCTGATCCAGGTCGGCCTGTGTCGCTTGGACTTCTTGGTATGTCTCCTCATGAGCCGCTGCCAAGCCGCTGTCGCCATTTGAAAGGTCGTCCTCGTGCAACTCCATGGATTCGTAAACCGCCGGCTGCACCTCGGCTTCATCCAGTTCGTCTCCTGCGGTATCTTCATTGGTGGATGGCGCACTTTCAATCGCCGTGGCCTTCTCTCCTGTTCCCATGACAGAATTGCCATTAATAGCAGGTTCATGTTGGGAGAGAACCGAGACTGCTTCCTCAGCCGGCTTCTGGGCTTCATCGTCTTCGCGGGGTGCAATGGCGCTGATAGCTGGGCCAAGTTCAAAGTTGGTAGCATTGCCTCGGCCCATGACATACGGAGTCCAAGTCAGCGCGTCCGGGTTCAGCTTGACGTAGTTCTTGCGCTCCCACTTGGAGATGTATTCGGTGCAGTACGCAAGGTCAATTCGAAAAGCGTATAGCTCAGTGTGCGGGTCGCGAACGAGGCACCGAAGACCCTCGAGAGCCGATATGACATCGTCGGGTGTCAAGCCCGTATCATCAGACATCTGCCGGACACTCAAGCCATGAGCAGCTGCCTTGGCGTCCGAGATATGATCCAAGAGATAACGGCAAAGCACTAGTCTCCAGTAGTTGCGATAAGAAACCAAGCCCATGTCAGAAAGTGGTTTTTCGGGCGATCCTGTCTTGCGCTCGACACGAGTAAGCAGATATGAGAAATCTATCAACAAGTTCCCATAGCCTTTTCGTTGATGGATTGGTAAGGTCAAAATGCAAGAAACATTGTTCTGGCTGCTCGCCCGCTTCTCTTTGGAAAAATAACCCACGAAATGATAGCCGAGAGCATCATACTCACACAACACATAGAAGAGGAAAGGCTCGACGTCGTAGTAAAGTGTTTTGGATCCAAGGAAGAGCTTGGCCAGCAGACAGAGATTCTGGCAGTAGACTGGATTCTTTCTGCCGTCAACCTCGAAAACAGAAACAGAACCATGTCGGTATATCTCGTCGCCCGGAGGGTGCTTGGCCGGACACTTAAGTTTGTGACGCCAGGCTACATAATCTGAGTTCATGTACTTGAGGCAGAACTCGCAAATGTACAGAGTTCGGTTCCGACTGTACTCTTCTGGGTAGGGTGCCGCATACCAAGTGTCGATTTCCCAACCGCCGAAATCGATACACTCGATCTGGCTTGCCGGTCCAGCATTCTTCTTTGGCTTCTTGGCAGGCGTTCCCAAGATAGCCTGGGTACTTTGAAGACGAGCTCTCCAGACTTCTTCCGCCTTTTGTTTCGCCTCGTCGAATCGCCGACGGTCATCATTGGCAGGCAAGGTTCTGGACGTGTCGGCTTCTGCCTCGCTAAGAATCCCTCCGTACGGCTTGGTCTTCATTTCCTCCGTCTCGCGATCATAGAAAGAATAGAAGGGATGTGAATAGTCTGTCGCAGTGAAAGTTGATGGCACGACCGTTGAAACACCACCACGCGACGAGGCACCATCTCTCCTATCCGATCTCTTCCGATTTGATGTTGCTTTTCTGGACAAGACGCGGCGAAGTGAGGATGGCTTTACTCGCATATTGACGATTATTGAGCGTTGCCGACGGGTAACGACAACAGCCTGGGATTTCCTGGCGGGATTCAGTCGCAGCTTGCGGCGGACGTCTTTTTCTGCAGGACCGTCAGACGCATCCTGGTTCGTATTCAAGCCATGGCTGGTCTCTCGATCTTTGGAGGCATTTCTGCGACGTTTCCGAAGAGACATCACCATTTCATCGGCCTCGACGGAAGAGGTCTTTCGCTTTCGAAGAACGCGTGATCCATCCATAGGGTCGCCGTCTAACAGAAGTTGGTTGAAGACCGAGTGAGAGTCAGGTTTCGCAGGCCCCTTCTGAGGGGGGAGCAAGTCGCGCGCCACTTGAGATGCCGTTGACCTCCTAGAAGAAGGCGATAGCTCAAGCTCAATTTCATGCTCGGGCTCAGGTCGACGAGAAACATCGGTCAAGACCGCCAGAGACGGTTCATCATCGGGAGCAGCACATTCAGGGCACTTCCACTGCTGAAGATCTAAGATATCGTCTTGTCAGTGCACCTGAAATACTAGGCAAATAGCTGAGGAGCTTACCAGTGAGCTCCTTCACAACATTTGCTTCTCTGGCGCAATGTTGGTGTGCTACACAATCAGTCAGCTTCGTGGTTCTCCTCGAAGACACGCCTAGCCACTCACAATTTTCGCCACACACGACGCAGCTTAGATATTCCTCAAAGTCCTCTCCAGGATCGTTGTCTTCGTCTTGCCTGCAGAACATGCATGTGTTGGGCGCGGCATCCTCAGAGCCTTCTTCCTCGTCGTCTTCTTCGCCCCCAGCAGCGTCTTCCCATGCTGCGGCACCGTCGGACTCATTTCCAGACTCGCTCTGGGAGTCCGAGTGTTCGCTATCAAGCTCCGCCTCATCATCCGTCTCCCCTGGTCGAATCTTGACAGCACCGACGCCTTCAGCCTCATCTTCTTCGATATCGTCCAAAAGACTACTGCTCCGACTTCGCGCGCCAGCTGAGGCGTCATCACCGTCGCGCTCCATACGCGAACCCATGCCCTCCTCAGAATCGTTATCCATATTATCCTCAAGAGACGCCTGAGAGAGATCGCTGGCATCGTCTGTGTTTTCGCCCATCTCAAGGTCGTCTGCCAGGGCACTGACGGATCTTTGCTCGTCGCCATCGCCAGATGCGTCTGAAAAGCCGTCATCGTGGGTATTCGGGTTCGTCAACGGGCTCTCAGTACTCCCTAGACCATCTTCGACAGCATCTGGGAGCGCCGACTCATGCTCAGCATCCTCATCCGAATGGGTAGCGCTCTTCTGAAGCTCCTCTTCTGACAACACCGCACTTTGTTGCAGTTGTTCTTCGGTAAGATGCGCACTCGCCATTTTGTCGCACAACGCTCGTTACGGATCGTTCGAGACGGAAAGTTATTGCTTCGCAACACGTCCACAAAGAACACAATGGCGGTTCCCACAGCCCATAGCTACCCGGAGGAGAAAAGGTGGCTAAGGCTGGCGATGCGCTGGGCGATGTCGACGCGGTTTGGCTCGGGATTCGTTTGATGCGTCGGGATCGACTAGCCGCGCGCGCGGGCGATACACCAGAGATACGAGCGGTCCAATGAATATCAGAACGGTGCTTGATATGGACGAGAAACGCGTTGCGCGGGGTATTGACGTCAATCTATGTCGTCTAGGTTGACATTGAGTAGGCGAGTGGTAGCTCCAAGATGCTTGGTCGAGTTTTAGGTCGAGTTCTAGGTCGAGTTATGCGCGAGCAAAGGGCCGACACGTTGGCGACTCAACCGCGAGCGACCACCTTGAGGTACTCGCCGCCTGTTCCCAAGGGATGCGACTGTAGCAAATGAGAGCTTACCTTGGCCATGTACCTATGGTAGGTACCTGTCTGGCCTGTGGCACGTACAGTGGGAACAGTGCTGATTAGACAGTGCAGTCTGATATCCACATCTGATGCCCGCGACCAGTCAAAACGCTTCTAATTGTTTGATGTCCGAACAGTCACGTGGCGCCATTGGTCTGGACCAGCCGCTGGTCAACGACGACAGCGGCTTCATCGTCAACCAGTATATTGAGCTCAAGAAGCCGGCAGTCTGCAACGCCGCATCCCACCATCGACCTGGACCTCGGCTTCGACCTAGAGTCGCGACAGTCGCAAGCATTGATTTCGCTACTTGCCTCTTCCTTCCTTCTTTGTGCACAGGAAATCAATTGAGCATCCTTGACTGGAAGGTCACCCGCGACAATGCCTGTTCCTTTCGAGACTCTGATTCCCTATGGAATCATGGTTGCCGTAAGAGCTACCCATGCTTACCCAGACGCGGACACTTCGATCATACCTGCGGACGCTAAGACCAGTCCAGATGTTTGGCATTACCGGCACCGGCTTGCACGTCATCAAATACGTCCAGAATGGTGGAAAGAAACCTCGTTGGGGGCTGGATCAATGGGACAGAGTTAGTATTTTCTCCTGCGCGCCTCGCCATGGCCAACGCTAACCAATCGGGCTGCAGCAAAGTACGCACCGCTCCGAGATTATGACTTTTTCTTGCAATTGGCTTGATATTTAACCTCATGTCCACCAGTGATGGATCGCGACCGTCGACTCACGGGCGACCTGCGAGGTCAAATCGACAACGCCGAAGCCCCTCCAGGCTTCGAACTTAACAACCCTTGGAGGGTAAGTCCACTCTGGAAACCAACTTCGGGCATCGCAGCTGACAAAGGCACAGTTAGAGAAGCGTTTCTCGTAAATGCACGGGATGATACCAAGAAATGTATTCTACTTCAACACTCGGGCGTACTCTGATAGCCTTGGTCATCTCGGCCAAGGAATAAACCTTATTCTTTCAGCTATATATGGGTGTGCCAACCTCATTGATTTCTCCTGTCCGCGATTAATGGGTGGCGCACATGAAGAGGGGCGCATATGATGGAAATTGCCTGTTTTATATGCGGATCTCTGGCTTATTCTTATTGAGCCCGTCTACCAGGAGGCAGGCCTGGCAGACAGCCTGACTTGACATGTAACCGCATCTCTCGCAACTGCCCAGTTTCTGAAGGGGACCGTTCGTCGCCGCTTGCTGCGTTGAGGGCTTCGGCTGTCCAACAACTATGTCTGCGTGGGGTTTCGTCTTTCCGGCTACCGCTGTCGTGTAGTCTGTTACCAGGTCTGCGTCGCCTGTAGTCTGGCTCAATTGAGCGTCCAGCCGAGCGATCTCCCCCTTTGACCCGTTGTCATTTTGCGAGCCGCAACCACTGGCGTAATCGTCCTCGGCAACCCGACCAGAGTCGCCCTTGCACGCGCATGAGTTGCTGGATGCGCCGGCAACGAGTCGCGCCATGTCCTCGCCGCTCCGAACTATGTCCAAAATAGCGCTGGGACGCACCCGCTCGAGGTTCTTGATCAAGGTGCGTGCAGTGCCTCGAAAGGCTTCAGGACTGTATAAGCATTCGGTGCTGAAGTAGTCGAGTTTTTGATGATGAGCATACAACACTATTTCCTTCTCGTACGAATATTTCAGCGGCTTGCTGCGTTTGACGTCACTGGAATCGTCGCCAGTGGTGATGCTAGTGCTCCGACCAAGGCGAGGTAAATCACCTCTCAAGAGGTTCATGAGAATGGTCTCAGCAACGTCGTCGGCATTGTGACCGGTAACAAGATGTTTGATGCCCAGCATCTTGGCGCCGCGATCCAGCGCCTGTCGGCGGAAGACTCCACAATACGTGCAGTTTCCTTTCTTGCCGATGGTTTCGACAACCTGATCCATCGTCCAACCATACAGCTGGTCGTAGCCTACGACGGTCAGCGGCATGTCGTACTGGACAGCATTCCTCTTCACCGTCTCCAGTGAATCGTCTCTGTAGCCTTTGATTCCTTCGTCGATACTGAGAAGCACAAGCTCCAAGCCATAGCTATATCGTTCGTTTAGGGTCTTAAGCACGCTTGCCAGTACTGTCGAGTCCTTGCCGCCAGATGCGCCAATGGCAACCTTTTCACCGGGAGCGAAGAGAGCGGAGGACACTATCGTGTGGTGTACCTCTTCTTCAAAAACTGATATGAAGCAGGCTTTGCAGAGCTTCTGGTGGTTCTTGGGTCGCTTCACAAGAGCACGCTCTATCTTGCAGTTGGCGCAAAGGACAGGGGCCATGATGGCGATGACCTGGGCCCGGCTGACGCTGACAGTTCCGAGCGTGGCGAACTCTTTACCGGCCCAAGTCAGAGGCGCCGAGAGAAGGAAAACCCAGCTTTTTCAAGCCGCGGGGAAAGCTGGCCTTGTGATAGAAGCCCGTAAAGCGTTGCGAGAAAAACAAAGATCCCCCTTCGGCTGACAAAAGAGTAACTGTGTACGGGCAATTCGTCAACAGGGAAGGTAGGTGAGTACCTTAGCGTCAGGTGCTCAGAAAACCGGCAGTTCGGTGAGCTCACGGTCAAAGAACCAATCGGAGCAACACTACCTCTTCATGACCCTGCTACCCTCCCCGAGACCTGCACCCAAGTAAGGTAGGCACCTAGATACCTGACGGAGCCAGTACGGGTACCTCCCCCAAAAAAAAAAAAAAAACCCGAGCCTACCTAAGGTAGCAGGGATGGAGGGTCACGTGGTGATAGCGCTCTTCTGTAGCGGACTTTACTTGCGCCTTATCGCAAACCCACCAGCCAGAATTTTTTTGTGCCCTAACTCCAGCCCACACTCCGGAGCAGCAACCTTTTCTCATCTCCGCCATCCTGAGCCTACGCAGTGTTGTGTCGTTCCTCATCCATCCCCCCTCCACGGCAGCATCACGACAACCGACAAAATGGTAAGTGCACACCGAACGTCGACGCCTTCGTTTGCCCTCGTGGCCAGAACATCCAATGTCGCTTGCGCGCATTGTGACTATTCCATCCGCCCGCCTGTCCTTGCGTTGCTCGCACGCACACATCGCAGGACGGTGTGATGATGATGATTTGGCTTGAGAGGACGGCAGAGGATTGATTTGCCGTGAGGCGTCAATTCTTCTCGCCGTCCTTCTCTTTAGAGTTCAGGGAAGACACAAGTTGATTTGAACAACTCGCTGATGTCTTTCTTTCTCAATGACAGCCTCCCAAGTCCGGTAAGAAGGTGGCACCCGCCCCTTTCCCTCAGGGAAAGGCTGGCTCCAAGAAGGCTCCCAAGGTCAGTACCAAATTCACAACCCTGTCCGCTTAGCTCAGTGAAGGCTGACTTCTTCCTCAGAACCCCCTTCTTGAGCGCAAGCCCCGCAACTTCGGCATCGGCCAGGACATCCAGCCTCGCCGCAACCTGTCCCGCATGGTGAAGTGGCCCGAGTACGTCCGTCTTCAGCGCCAGAAGAAGATCTTGAGCATGCGCCTCAAGGTGCCCCCTGCGATTGCCCAGTTCCAGCACGTCCTCGACCGCAACACTGCCGCCCAGGCTTTCAAGCTCCTCAACAAGTACCGCCCTGAGACCAAGGCCGAGAAGAAGGAGCGCCTCGTCAAGGAGGCCACTGCCATCAAGGAGGGCAAGAAGAAGGAGGATGTCAGCAAGAAGCCCTACACTGTCAAGTACGGTCTGAACCACGTCGTTGGTCTCATCGAGAACAAGAAGGCTTCTCTCGTCCTGATCCCCAACGACGTTGACCCCATCGAGCTGGTCATTTTCTTGCCCGCTCTTTGCCGCAAGATGGGCGTCCCCTTCGCCATTATCAAGGGCAAGGCCCGTCTCGGTACTGTTGTTCACAAGAAGGTAAGCAAATTCCGAATCGTGTTTGCTGAGATGCTAATCAAGGGCAGACCGCCGCTGTCCTCGCTCTCACCGAGGTTCGCTCTGAGGACAAGAACGAGCTGTCTAAGCTCGTCTCTGCCATCAAGGATGGCTACATCGAGAAGACCGAGCAGGCGAGAAAGCAGTGGGGTGGTGGCATCATGGGTGCCAAGGCACAGAAGCGCACCGAGAAGAAGAGGAAGGCGCTTGAGACCGCTATCAAGGTCTAAGGAGGACAAATACCCGGACTGCTTTTAGTGTATTAGGAGACTAGGCCACTGGAGGTTATCGGATTACAAAAATTTGGCATGGCGTCGGGATGACTATTCATTTGGGTTTCGGTTCACGCTTCAGGTTTCCCTTCGCATCTAACTCTGAGGACTGAAAAATGTGTGTCGTGTCCTGACCGGATTCAAGTTCGGGACGCAAATCATCATGGTCGTCCCATCAGATGTGCCCACGCGTACGTGTATTAGCATCACCTAGCGCAAGCAGTAATCCGAGCCAAATGTTGTGTATCCGAACTTGTCCGGTTGTCGGCGGCATCTCCGCCTGCCGAAGAGATGACGTGAATCAACCAGCTCGTTACTACAGCTTCATAACTGGTGCGTATGGGCGACAGTCGACGAGAAAACCATATACTGCCACGTATTGTGGCGCAACTCTCTGTGGGGGTTAGTCGGCGGCAGGGTTACAGCCGAACGAAGAAACTGTCTGCTCGTAGAAGATCCCCTACTATGCACATACGGCTTCAGCTAAAGATTTGGGTACGCCTCGCCACCGGACTTCTTTTTTTGGTTGTTCTTGTCCGATTCTGTCATATGTCCTCTATAGCGATACACTGCCTGTTCCGACGGACATTCGTAGCACAAGTTCAGAAATGGGCACGAACCTGGCTCCTCACTATCGCTCATGTTGTGTACCGTGACAACCGAGTAGGCATGCTCTGTGGTTTTGCTAAATTGGCCAAACTTCCCCAAGGACGGGATGATTGCGCTGACAGTGACAGCTTGAACTTGTCCAGGGGCCGGGGTCACTTTGCCAGTTACCTACGTGCCTACGCACTGCGGGGAAGGTTCTTCATATACTACTCTTCTCGCTCTTCTGCAATCCTGGTATGTCGTAATTTGAGGCAGATCATCCTTGTCCACTACCCCTGTCGACACACTGACCGGCTAGATTTGAGTGTGTCTAAACTAGGAAAAGCGGTGCACGGGACTGGCGGGGCAGACAAGCTCACGGCACATGGAGGGACCACAGGTGGCAGAATGTAGTAGGAGTATGTATATAGCAGTAGGAAGCAAGATCAAAATGTGAGGGGGGAAGGAAGAGAAGAGGCCGGAGCACCATGCCGCATTGGAAGCGCGCAAATTCTATTATGGTTGCCTCTTTAACCTGGTAGCGTTGGCACTTCGAGATGTGCCGTTTCAGGGTGGGGGAGGCCCCTAGCCCGGCTTTACGTCCGCTACTCTGATCAGTCACAGTATGCTTCAAGTAGGTTACTGAGCACCCATGGATGGGTTAGGTTCAATGCTTGTGGCCCACGTCTGCCTGTGTCGAAGATCAAGTCCGTCGTTGTGTGCAGGCCAAGCACGAGCCGGGCGGTCAGCCGCCCTCTGGTCGTTTTGACGCACTCTCGCCGGTCGGCAGACATTCAAACCTGGCGGTGCAATCACATACACGAAAGGTTTGCATGCAAGCCGATCGTGGCTTTTGACGACCAGAACAAGCACGCACTTGACTTGTATCCGACCTGCTGTCTGGGGATGGTACTCGACCGAAGGACGTCGGCGGAGGCGCGGAGAGACAAGATGAGATCCAAGGCATGAGGAGGATACGGAGCAGCAATGCTGGGATAGCACAGCTTCTGCTCGTGCTAAGGTGTCTTGAGCGACTCGTCGAGTCTTGGCTCCGTTTGAATCTGCATCTAAAAGAAGTATGCCCATCCCCTGTTGCATCTATTGTTGCTGCGGCCATTTGAGAGCGAAGACAGCTGGGTTCCTTTCGGTTGGCTGTCCCTATAGTTAGCTATACGGAGTGACATTCTCTAGTTATATTATCTGCATGCCCCCTCCCCTCCCCTCCCCTCCCCACCCAAAGCCTTCGGTGTACGCATCACTCTTCCTCATCTTCGCGACTATTGCGTGGTAACATCTTGCTATTCTCTGCAGGATCTGTCCTCATCGCTTTGGAAGCGCTTTCTGGCAAAGGCGCTTCTCCTTGCCTCAGTTCATCCATTAGGTTTGTTCTGCCTGTCTCAACAGATCTACTCTCATTGGATCACCACTCAGTCGGTCCGCCCCCTCTTCCCCAACATCCCACGTTCGGCTGCATGTCTCTGCCCATCTTGATGCAAGTTCTTACTCTCAGCGCAGCCGGCTATTATCCCTTTGCATGCCACATGGGTGATCACTTACACACGCACGCTGAATTATACACAATGCATCCTCCTGACCACCCGCCCTCCCATCTTCTCCGCTCATCCAACCTGCTGTGACGCCCACCCTCCTTCGGTCCCTCCGCTGAAGACTCGGAATTTAATGTCAGACGCTGATTATCCCAGTCGAACCTTGCAGCTTTCCAGTAAGTGGAACGACGATTTCACGAGAAATCTCCAGGTCACACCACGGCGCTCGGCATCCGCCATAACTCGCAGCGCAGTTATATCTCGACCTCCTTCCCGACTATCCGCGTCCCATAGTTTGGCTAGCACCGGCTGTGTGAGAGCTGCCTAGCCTGCTCCAACGCCAAACCGCAGGATTTCCAGTTGTTGCGACCGGGAATTCACTGCCCCAGAACCCCTTTCATGCGTGAGCTTCTCTCGACTCCGGTGTGAGAGACCGAATCCAACATCTGGAGACCGGCCCGGTTATCTTCCATTCCCCGAGAGGTATCTAAGCAAGTGATTCTCAAAATCACTCAGTCGAGAAAGAAGTACAGCTTTGCAGGTCTCAGCTAGCACTCGGAGGACGGAAACCATCTTACTATCCATCCTCACCAGCTCTGCATCTGCCTCTTCGGGTCTTCACTGCTCCCATCGTGCTTGGGTCTTTCCACAGCACTTTCTATCACTTTCCCTTCTTATTCAATCGCTGAGGCCTCAAGAATTTAGTCGCCATGGCGTTCCAGGACCGTAAGTGCTGTCGATGCGAGCAATCGATCAAAATAGGCGCCATCACTGGGAGCTAACACGGCTTGTCGGATGCAGAGAACAAGTTCCTGTACGCGTTGAGCTCCAACCAAGCTTGGGCTGGATATAAGTCGCACCAGAACCCAGCCTTTTTCAAAAACTTGGCAACAGGGCAGTCCCCTTCTATCCGTAGGTTCTCCCTCGCTGTACCCTTCTTTGTCTGCTCCTCTCTTCCCCTCTTCCTCGTCCAGCTAGAAGAATCCAACCCGGCATTCTACTGATGCTGTTCCATTTTGCTAGCTGACATGCGATGAACAGTGTGGTTGGGATGTTCCGACTCAAGGGTTCCGGAAACGACGATTCTTGGTCTGCAGCCAGGAGATGTCTTCGTCCACCGTAATATAGCGAATATCGTTGCCCCGACGGACATCAATACCTCAGCCGTCATTGAGTATGCCGTCACACACCTCAAAGTCAAACATGTCGTTCTCTGTGGTCATTCGGCGTGTGGTGGTGCCAAGGCGGCATTGGGCGATTCCCGCGTTGGAGGTGTGCTCGACACATGGTTGACACCGCTGAAGGCCGTGCGGGCTCAGAATATCGAAGAACTTGCCGCTATCAAAGATGAGGATATACGCGCCATCCGCATTGCCGAAATGAATGTCGAAGCTGGCGTCCGAGTTCTGATGGCCAACTTCGCTATTCAAGAGGCAGTAAAGGAGCGTGGTCTTACAGTTCACGGATGTCTTTTTGACATTGCCAGTGGCCGGATCAGAGATTTAGGTTTTGGCACACGTGGCGTAGAGGGGAGAGGCATGATTGCGAACGGCGACGAGGACATTGTTCGCGGAAAACATGCTCAGCTGGTTTTCCGCGATGGAGACGCCTCGATGCAAGTGCAATGAAACAGCATAAGAGAAAACGGAGGGAGGCAGGGCGTATATACTGCATAAATGAGATGTCAGAGTCGTTTCTCTCCGCCTTCTTCCGTTTAGCAACACCCGCGGGGAGGACGTGTCGTTACTTGAGAGACCGCCTAATTTTCCCATGTCCGCGCGGCTGGATTTGCCGTGTGCTCTATACCCGTAGATTCTAAGACGGCGTTGAGCGAGGACAACAATGAGTTACAACGATCAGGGACGGCGAAGAGAACGATTATAACGATGGGAAAAATACTGAAAATAATCAGGATCGAGACCATTAAAGACGACGCCGACGCCGACGACGACAACAACAATGATAGCGAGCACAGGGTACGGAATAGTCCCTCGAGCGCGGGTAAAAGAGGCGATCTCTTACTTAATCTTTGGTGTTTTACTTTTGGCCGTGTTTAGAGGTAGGAGACCGCAGGAATGAGCGGATGTTCCAGCACGCAAACGACATAAAGAGGACGGATCATATCGCGTGGACCGACTCAAGAAAGCTGGGTGAGAAAACACGTCACGTCGAAGGAAGCATGCGGTGTTGTTTGACTCGGAAGCTCGATCATTATAGATGAGCAGTTCAAAAGAAGCGTGTTTGATTTCTAAACGGCTGGCAACTTGTCGGCATGCGCGTCTTAGCCCCACGCACGGGGAGGAAAACACAAAACAAAGAGGACCGTAGGAGTGTCATGTCCTATATCTACCCATACGTAGACACCCTCGAGGTAGTGAGACCCTCGTCAAGTCGTCTCTGCCGTTGCCAGTACGCGTTTTCTCCACGACTTGAAATTCATGCTCAAACGTAGAGCGAATGTATCTCGTCACTGTTCAAGCTGCCTAACCGTAGACCAGCTTGAAGAGGTCGTTGAGAACGAAGTAGTTACCAGTGGGATCGCGCATCAGCTGGAATGCCTGGGTGTAGTTCATGGGACGTTGCTCCTCGTCCACCTTTATGGTCAGCAGTTAGCAAGCTAGCTCAAGCCAAAGACAAGAATCGCGTGCTTACCAAGAGCTGTCCGGTTACGAGGATGACAATGCCGCCTTCGAGCGAGGGCTGTGCGTCGAGCGTGGAGACCTGGTGCTTGACCTTCTCAAAAGGAAGGGACTGCGGGGTGAAAGAGTGAGTGATCAGGTTGCATCGGGGAGCTGCAGAGACTCGGGGACACTCGCGCGAGCAAAACATACCGAAAGCTTCTCGACAATGGCGTTGGCGCCCAACACAGAAGCGGACTCGAAAGTCAGCATGGACTGGTCGCGCTGTTGCTACCATTAGCTTCGAGGGGTCGAACGACCGATTGAAGAGGCAGAATATCTCACGTAGAGGCTGGCGAGTCCTTTGCGGTCTGAGTCGAACTGGTTGTAGTAGAACTCGATGAACTGCTCTGTTGATTTGACGAGGCTGATCAGTTTTCTGGCCGATTCAGGTCGGGCGTTGCGAGCTCCAGAAGCATGATCAAACTCGTGGCCGACCAGGAAGAAAACCTACTTGCGACCTCTTCGAAATCTGCATCGTCCCAGTTAGCTACTTGCCGTAATGTTGGAAGACACCGCGCGATGGGAGAAAGCAATGGATTGAAGCTTGCGGGCGCATCGCAGCGCATTAAATCGAGCTTGGAACCCACAAGGCAACGGGACTTAGGGGGGGGAAAGTTTCTTACTAGAAGCCATTTTGTCCGATTCCGTGGGAAGCCAAATACGTAAGGTAGGTTGACAATCGAAGCCAGGGTCGAGAGACGTTTGTGTACGACGAGACTTGTGGTTCACTTTTTGGTGGTGGGAGCTATCGTCAGGCTGGAAGAAGAGGGGTGAGTCTGCCGTTGGTGGTGGGTGAGGAGAGGGGAACGGATACATAGGTACTTACAGGGGCCTGAAGCTGCGCAGAAGTGTGTGCCCTCACCGCGTGGATTCGCTGCAATGGCACCGCTGGAAACTGCCTTTTGAGGTGCCTACCTCACCCACCTACGGCTAGGCCGCAGGTGGTAGGGCAGAACATTACTAACCTAAGAAGTATGTAGGTACCACCAGGTACCTAAGGTAGGTACACAATGCGCCCCATCAGCAGGTTTAGGCCAAAGCTCGTTTTGTGTCTTTGTCGCGGTGGGCAACGACACCCTACCTAGGTAGGTAATTAGGCCCAAGTGACGCACTGTGAGGGCACTCCTCCGCGATATGCGATTGAGATGAGCACTCGTATAGATGCATGTGCTATGCAATACTCAAAAGATGTCGCTTGGTCTTGTGGGTCGTTCAAGGCTGGGTCTTGCTCCAGCTACAAATTTTCTCCGCGGACTCGCTGGTCAAGAATGATCTCTTCCTTCACTCAACCACACAGCCAAGTAGCACGATGTCGCAAATCGTCCAATTTGAGGCTGGGCTTGGAGCTTATGTTTTTTCTTGCTCATGGCTGCACTAATCAACGTTTCAACTGTTTCTAGCCTTTTCTCGGTTGGAAAATCCTGCTCCTCACACTAGGTAAGCATGATTTTTATTTCTCCTGTTCTCCTGCCTCCCGCAGCCCGCTATCATGATGATTATCTCTTCTTAAGAACGGCCAACTGAATTACAATGTTGATCCAAACTATATCAAGCTCAACAGTCTGACTGTAGCTATCTTGCTTTGTTTTGAGAAAGTAACCTGCTTGGACAAGATGTGCTGACGATACAAAGACAGTTTGCAGACTGATTGACATGACACAAGAAATTAAAGTTGGTGGCGGGGCCAGTGAGGAAACCTCAGTGTCACTGAATGCGGCAGCAGTGTTTGCGTAGCCTTCCTCACACATTTGCTAGATCACATATTCCAATGCCATTTTTCTTGCTTCAATTAGTGCCGTAAACGTTTCCTCTAGTTCGTCGGCAAATACAATGAACCCACGCCTTGTTTCTGTGGGATGCTCTTAACCGCAGCGCCTCGGTGAATGTAACAAAGGAGAAGCCGGGGCAAGCATAGAAGCCGCTCGTAGACGCCTACCAATATGAACAAAACAAATGCACCGTACTCGAGGGCCTTGCGCAAAGGACTGCTTTATATCCTCGTTAGACACGGTCTTCACATGTAAATACGTGTATTCGCGGACTCTGAAGGCTAACAGCTTCCATGTCGGTTTGACACTCTAATTGCCAGCGCAGCCATCCAATGGGCCTGACATGGTTCGGCCAAAGCAAGCCAATTGGCACTGTACCCTTCTCTAGTCTGCCAGTATTCGCCATTTGACGATCCATTCGCCATCTATACGATACAATTCTTGACCTTCTTTGTGCAGCCAAGTTTGGTCCTTCGACGACTGGCATCGGTCCTCGGCGCATCCCTTTTGGGTACAAGCGAGGCCGTGTCGTCTACAGCCTTGTACGTCTTTTGATCCTAGGCAGTGCGCTTCACAGCTCCTCCTCTTCGTCCTTTCCAGTCGAGGCGGGCGGTACTGTCGTCTGTGCTGGTGCTTGCTTCAAGATTTCACCGAATCCGGGGTTAGATCCAGGCGGCAACAATCCCGCCGGTTCATTGCCCGCGTTGATGCTGGGGCGGTGCTTCTTCAATGGGCTACCAATTGTCGATCGCACCGACTCATCAGTGCCTGTTGCCACTTGACCATCGCCGCTGGTGGCCGTCGTCGCAGAAGAGAGGCCAGCGAGACTGGAAGAGGCATGGTTGCCTCCAGCACCCGCAGACACAGAGCGGTCCGGCTCAGCTGAGTGTGCCCTCTTCAGCTATTCATACTTTGTTAATGGACCGAAGTGAAAGTCATGACCAAACAAGTACTCACATGGATGCGATTTACGCCGTCGGCAAGCTCCCCCTGAAATTTAACATCCTCAGGGGCGAGTTTATTATCCACATCCTTTTCATCAATATCTTGCATCTTGCCAATGAGCTCGTTCTCATCGTCTTCATCGTCGCTGTCGTCGTTGAGAGCTCCTCCGACATTGCCGTTGCTCTTCTTGCGAGCTTTCCGTCTTTTGGCGGCCTCCGTGTCTTGGTCTCTGAAAGCAGAGAAACCAACGGTACCCGAGGGTTTGAGAGGGCCCAAGTTGGAGAAATCCAACTGCCCTGACCGCCTCTTGACTGAACCGGGCGTTGTCTGTGCTGCCTTGGAGGAGGCAATGATGCCTATCTTTTGCAATTGGCCTAGGAAGGATTAGCAATTCATGGACCAAGACCGAGAGCCACCAAGGCATGACGCTCAATGTAGGACGGGGTGTAATTACGTTCTCCGCGGTAAAAGAAAGTGAAGGAAGCATAAGGCTTGTCTGGGCCGTCGATCCCCGTCACAGTTTGCGTGCTGATGGTTTTGGGGTCCAACGTCTTGGGTTTGGCAAAGCTCGTCGTGTGCTCAACGTCTGCATCAACGCCTGACTTTCCATTGCCCTGATTCGAGGCGTCGGCGTCGTCGTCATCGTCATGAGCGTCGAACTGTGGTGAATATTCACCCTTCTTGATCTCGCCGGAGGCCAGTACCCGAAACATGAGCACTTTGATTTGTCCAGTCGCCTCCGGGATCTCGTCGTCATCAGACAGGGAATCAGAATCGTCTTCGCCAAACACAGCTTCGACGGGGGAGCCGTCATCAGCGCCATACCGAAGGGTATCTCTAGGTCCGTTGGGCCCTTCCTCCATCTGCATACCAGGAGACCCGGTTGCCGCCTTTTGACGCCGACGGCGTTTCTCAAACTTTTGCCGGCGACGCTCCAATTTCTCGGCTGCATCATGGCCTTGAAGGTCCAAGCCATTTAGCCAACGCTCCAGTCCAACTTCGCGAAAGAGAAACTCTCGCTCCGCCAAACCGCCGCCCTCGGAGTCGGGAACCTGTACCCAGCGACTGTTCACCCATGTTTCCTCGCCCGGCCTCAGCAGCGTTGCAACCTCTTCCTTAGTTCTGCCATCAAAATAGATGTACGCTGCTATCGTTTCGTTCTCGGAGTTGGTCATGGGGATGTATGGGTTGACGACGCCGGAAAACTTTGACGGCCCATGGGCGACGGTTGGCAGACCGCCGACGAACTGGGGCTTCGGGTAAGGGTTGCTTTCGTTGGGCTTCGGTGTCGAGTAGGGGATGGGCAGGCCTGGTGTCAGGAGAGTGATGGAAATGGCGAACTTTGCGGGCTCCGGTTTGTTGGATTCAGGGTTGATGTTTGGCTGTGGAACGGGAATGTAGGTGCTGATGCGGGACAAGCGCGACTGCTTCTGCATGCCATACTCGGGGAGAGGTGCGCCGTTTGCGTGTATGCTCACGGCGATGCCCTTGAAGCAGGGCATGTTTGAGGGGGAGATCGGTCGCGTCTGGGCAACGTACTCAGTTGCAAGCAGATATCGGTCAAGGCTGTCGTTATTGTTCGGACAGCAGATTGCGCCAGCGGGGTTCGGTCGTTCGATGGATTCGGACGTCGGCGTGAGGGGCAAAAGGCTGAGGCTCTCAAGACAATGGAATGCGAAGAACGGAGGGGAATAAAGGGTAAAGATAGGAAGCAAGAGCCGAAGCAAGAACGAGCGCCACAACCAAAGCGTGAGTAGAGACTGCCCTAGGTCGAGGCGGGAGGATATGATTGAAGTTTGCTTAGCCCTCACCGTCTCTCGGTTTCGTTGGCTTGGGTCCTGAGTGGGCCTGGCAGGCTATGGGACTTTGAACGGAGGGGCCTAGAAGTAAGTGGTGTGCATGATGCCCCCGGCGGCTGGGGTCGAAGGCAGTTCAATCTGGTTGACGTCCCGTTGTCAGCGACCACACAGAATATCAAGGAGGGCAAATGATGAGGCTGAGAGAAGGTTGTTGCTACTTTGGTCGACACAAGGACAAGGCTTCTTCTTTGTGAGAGCAGTGGCAGGACTGGCGGCGGTGTCTGAGGGGTGCGGTGCGGGCAAGGCGGGTGAAGAGGCAATTAAGCTGGGTACCTACGTAGCAGAGCAGTGTAGTGAGCTTTGGCGCTGTTAGTACGTGAAGTACCTTAGCCAGGCTTGGTTTTCCAAGTACGTAGGTACTTAAATAGCAAGATCCCAGGTACGACCGGCGAGGAAAGGCAGAGCAGAGCTTAGGTAGGATGAGATGCGAGAGATAATGGGAGAAAGCCAGCAGAAAAGAGACACTTTTTTTTTCTCAAGAAAAAGAGAGGGTCAACGAAGAAGAAGGACTACACAGGCCGAATTCGCATCCTATCGTGCGGTGTAAAGCAGTGCGGTGAGTGAGTGGTTTAAGAGGGTAGGTACGCTAAGGTAGCGAAGCACACTGCAGCGGGTGGAGCTCCTGGAGAAAACAGTGAGGAGGGTGGAGGGGCTGGACCACACTAAGGTGGTACTGACGTGGTTTGGGACGGGCGGGCAAATCAAAGTGGACCAGTATTATTACCTAAGCTGGAAAGCTCAGCTGCAACCGCATCAAATTCTCGCCGGCGTCTAGCAGCCGCGGGGGCCGCGTGATGGTGAAAATAAGCGAAGACCAAGAATTACCCACCACGAACATCAAAACCTCATACTCCACCATCCATATCCCGCTAATAAAACTGCTAGCGGTTGTGGGACGACCTACGTCGAACGCTACCCGATCCTCCCTCGCTATAACTTGTCCCTATGCCCGAATCACCCTTGAAACTTGCCCGTCCGTCGTCTTCTTCTTCATCGTCAGCTTCACCTCCGAGTGGGACGAGGTCCTCCATCCGAAGACCTGACTGTGGCTCTTCCTTGACCTCGGGCTCGTATCTGAGCGGTGCTTGGTTTCCATAGGTAGGAAAAGTCCGGGGCGCATCTGACAGCTCATCCACCCCGCTCCCCTCTTCTCTCTTGAGCCGCATACCAAGTTTCGAGTTGTCTTCCCCGCGTCCAGAGGCCAACCTGGAACTTGAGCCCGAAAGTCCAGTCCAGACCAACCAGGCTCCTGCCATGAATAAAATTTCGGATGACCAGAAAAGAATTATCGCCGCGGTCAATGTTGGTAATCGGTAATGATACATCAGCCAGCGCAGTCCGCGCAGTTGTGCCGTGAGCGTTATTGACGCGTGGTACGTTTCAATGCTCTGGCCGCCCTGGATCTCCAGATACGCCGACGACGGCAGGGATGAGCCCTTGCCCAGCTGGACGCGTTCGGCCATCGGCACCGTTAACACACATGTCTGGGAGTCCGAGAAGAGAATGTGGTAAACCATGAACAAGACACGAGAGGCCAGTGAGACCAACGGGTCCTGATACGGCACGAGGGTGGGCCGTCGTGACGAAAACAAAATGGATTTGCCGTCGAAGTGGCCGTAAGGCTCTGGGGGGGTTTGAGGCTGGACTTGGCTGTTGCCGGTTGACAGAGCACCGGCATCAAGCAGGTACAGAGCTACCATGAAGTTGCCCCGATGCGTGTTGGCTGGCGAGCGAGGCAGAGATATAGTGACAGACACATCGTACTCCTGCTGTGTCCTCAGACTGGAGCTTGGTATGGTGGCTATTCCAAACGGATTGATCCCCGAGCTGTGTCGTTTGTAAGCCAAGGCAGCCAGAAGAGGGAATGGGATCAAGACCGGCTTGATTAGTGACCGGAAAACGTACCCATACTGAAGATGAACCGGTGCGCTCACGACCTGGTCAGGCAGATAATTCCGGAAGAAGAGGAGAGAGGCGGTGGCAGCGAGGGGCAGAAGTAAGAGTGACGTTCCTATCAGGAGAGTCACGTTCACCAAAGTTCGCTGTGCCGTCTTGGAGGTAGCTGCTCGGGATGCCTTGCTAAGAGCCTCCTGGCAAGCCCGATAGAATATTAGCCTGTGTATCTCACACAATCGGCATGTGTCGACGTCAAGAAGATACGGAGAAGTGCGGTTTCATACCATGGTTCGTAAGACGCTTGAGCTGTTCCCTCTCCTCTCGCTCTGTTTCCCCTAAGCCGTGCAGTCACGGTCGATGGTTGTTCTGAGCAAGGGATACGTCGCAGCTCATCACTATGCCCCGGGGGAGGATGATGTAGACGAGGGAGCAAGGGAGAGCACAACTTAAGGAACCTAGGGTAGTAAGTGGGGTTGGTTCTACGTACCCCGACCAGGAGCACCTGTGACCGTGCTCACGTTTGTACCTACCTTATCTGAACTAAACGATGGCAGATATGCACTACAAGTATGAGCTAAGAATTGGGGAAATTGGACAGGCTTCTAAGGTCATGGGCCACCTAGCCCAGCCTTGCGCAATGAGGCACAGGACGGGGCTCCTCTGAGACCCAGTTAATGGAAGGCCGCATATGACACCCGGTCTGACTTCTTTATGTAAGTAGGAAGGTTGGTACGAAGATGTGCAATTATTGTCCTTTATTGAACGTGACGTTTTCCCAGACAGCTATGAGCCCCAACTCCTGGCAAATCATCACAAATCCGCAAATAAGCACAGCCCAAAACCGGTCATCCGCATCATGAGCACTCATCAACACGGCGACCAAAGAACATGTGTCTCGTAAGGTACTTGCAAGAATGACATCACAGCTTTCGCAGATCGTGCCTTACTTTGCGCCCCCTGCATTAGCCAATGGCCACGAATCTTTTCAGCAAGGCTGAAGGTAGTTACTCGGAACGAGTCCGATCTGGCCGTTGCCCCCGTGTACCTCCGCTTCCCACCAACCGTCGTCTTGATGCCGCAGCACTGCAAGGAAGTCTCCCTTGGAGAAGCCCAGCTCCTCCGGGATCGCTGCTTGGTACATGTACAGTGCTTTAGCTGTTGATCTTGTTAGCCAGGTTATTCTATTGATGATTCCCAATGTACTTACCAAAGTGCAAGATTGGTCGGCCGTCGTGTGTGTACTGTCGAGATGGATCTGCAACACTCTTACTCCGTTGTCTCGACTCGCCTTGTCCTGGTGGCCCACCACCATCATATAAGCCCATAGCCCGGTTGCTTGAGCTCGTTCCTGGTCGTACTCCGCCTCGGCCACGAACCGAACCATAGCTATCATCACCCACAGGAGCAAGCTGAACTGCCATATCGTTGCTGACATGACTACTGCTTGGTCGCATTTGCTCCCTGAATGGTGCCGGCGAAGCTGTTCGTGACATGTTGCTCGGCGAGTTTTGGCGGTGAAACGATTGCTCCGAGCCTCGTCTAGGCGCACCACTGCTCATTTGCGACGAGCCTCTACCGAGAGAGCTGTGCGGATTAGGCGACGCCGACCTATAGCTACTCCTAGTATCGTCTGCTGGCGCGACCCTCGGAGACGCACTGCGCGGGGAGCTCCTGTGCCCACTTCGCGAGTCATCTGTCGCCGGCGCCCTAGGGGAAGCACTGCGAAGTGGCGCTGGAGATGCTGCTCGTGGAACGTCACTACCCCTGGTCATGGGCCGAGGACTAGATGAGCCCGCATATCCTCCCGATCCAGGCCGATTCGCCGGGTTGAACATGCTGCGAGTCTGGTCGGCGAACTTCTGAGACGTTTCCTTCATTGCCTTGGCCGTCACGGCCTGGGGCGGAACCCCAAGTCTCTGTACCACTTGTTGGTCGTAAGAAGGAGGGGGCGTTCCTCGAAGCCCTGCTGTGACAGCGGCATTGGTTGCAGCTGGCGGCACCGATCGAGAAAACGGCTGCGAGCCAGGAGTGGGTGTTGCAATGCCGTGGTAGCGGTCTGCCGAGACACGGATGCTAGACTGCTTGCCTACACCAACGCCCTTGAGTTCGGCGAGGGCCAGCGCAATAGGATCCGTTTCAGGCTGTGCGCTCGGTGTATTTGATCCTTTTCTTTTCTCGAGGTCCGGCGTCGTAACAGAGAATACATTTTGTCCGACGTTCAACGCCAGACTGGCATTGGCGTCAATCGGCTCAGGACTTATCGTTGATCTGCCCGCCAACAGACTCGGGGCGTCTTGCGTGTATACCTGTGGTCGACGTGAGGGGCTTCCTTGCGTAGATACAGGATGCCAAGTGTTTCTGTTTGTGGTAGTGCCCTGAACTTCCTTGGTGCTTTTGCGACGGAACGGGCTGTGGTTCTGAAAGAAACCACTTTTCTTCTTGAGGACCTGTTTTTCCGCCGTTGCCGAGGCCGGTGACGGTGCTTGTGCTTGAGCCGGTACTGATGCGGGTACGCTAACCGGTTCGTGCTTGATCGGCGAGACCTTACCGCTCGGGGGCTCCTGACTAGAGAGCGAGGTTGGGTTGGAGTAGTCACTTTGAGAATCGCGGCTGGACGGTCTTGCCGACGCAGGATGCGAGCTGCGTTCCGATGGAGGTCCTTTTCGACATAGCATTGTCATGCCATCGAGAGGGTATGGGTCGTGGGGAATTGAAGCAAAAGTACCGTGCTGATTGATATCGAGAGGGAGACGGCTCTGCTGCTGAGATGCCGGCGGGACTGGCGCCACTTGTCGTTGCTTCTCAAGCTGTGGTGGCATTCTCTGGGAGAGGCTAGGGGCTTCCCGGGCAACGGGAGGCATGATCTCCCTAGCCAGTGAGATTTCCTGAGTGTGGCTCCTCTCAGACGCGCCGGCATCTTTGAGCCCATAGTCTTGCCCAAGACTCCGGGGAGCAAGAATAGGGTCTTTGGGTCCAACATCTGACGGAAAGCCTCTTGATGAAGAGCTCGTTGCTTCCCGGTGGCTCATGTCTGTTATGAAGCCTCGAGATGAAGAGCCGACTTCTTTATGCCCAAGGTCTGACAAAAAGGTTTTCGGGATAGGATTTAAATCCTTGTGGTCCAGATCCGACGCAAAGCTCCTAGAAGGGGGACTTGTCTTTCGCAACATGTCCTGTGCCATGTGCCTCGACGAAGATGAGTTCCCTTCTTTTCGTCCAGCGTCCATGGCGATCGTTCTAGTTGCTGCAGGCGCAGGCTCTTTGTGGCCCAGATCCTGAGCAAGACTGGAGTTTGGATCATGGTGCGATTCGTAGGTTGACGGCTGCGGCGACGAAGTGCGAAAGGCTGGGTTGATGCTTCTCGGAAATTGCGCGACAGAATAGTTGTCGTCGTCAGATGTTTCTGACTGAGTATCGTTGACATCACCCCGGCAGAAATTGATATACTTTGGCGGATCTGGAATCTCTTGCCCTGTCCCCCGTTCCTTGATGAAGCCGACGATGTCAGTCTCAACATCCATCTTTTCCAAAGACAGACGAATCTTTTCGCATGACGCATCGTCGCTGACACAGACCGTAGAGGAGACGTTGGCAAAAGTCCATAGACTGCTCTTGGTAAAATCCAGCCGTTCTTCTTCCAGATCCTGGAACTTGTCTGCGGCGGCTTTCCACTCGCGATTCCAGCGCACCGTGGTATCCTCGAGGGCCTTCACTGCGTTCTCATACTCTGTGTTGGATGTCGCAACGCTAATCTGCGTTTTTTCCAGCTTTGCCTTATTTTTTCGCTCTTCCTGGCCCATGACCATGTGGCCTTGTGCCAGGTAACCTTTGATTTTGAGGCATTCTTGCTCAAAGCGATCCCGAGTCTGATGCGCGAGTCAGCACGAATGTTCGATGGGTTTCCTAGGGCTCCCTGGGTAGCTATAGGCCGACCTTGTTGACATGCTGCGTCTGCTGTATCTTGGTCTTGAGAATCTTTTCGATACCATTCTGGACAATCTTGCGCCTTTCCTTCATTGCGCCAGCAAAGGCGGCCAGCGGTTCCTCTAGCTCGGTCTTCATCTGAGCAGCGATATTTTGGTGCTGCTTCCCCATTGATTCTACTTCTCCCCTAACAGTGTCCAGGGAGTTCTTGAGGCTTCCCATCTCCTGAGAGCCTAGTGATTTGCGACACAGAGACAGTAGCTTCCGAGCGTATTCGTCTTCGATAGAGGCGCGAGCTGTTTGATTCATCAACTTCGTCAAGTTCTGAGAGGAAGTAGTCTGCGATGATTGACTAACCACTATAAAATGCTTTCAATTCATCGCAAGTTTGCTTGGCTGCAGCCATACGATCGAGAAGGGGTCCAACGCCGGCATCTTCCTTACCCCAGAAGTTGTTCGCGACTTGCACATATCAGCAACATTCGACACATGATAACCGCGATATTAAACGTACAAGACAAAGCCACCGCTGGGCTTTCCATGGTAGAAGCAGGCATGTCCTGCGATGCGTTGGTCGGGTCTATACGCCAGCAGCGTCGTGAATTTGTCGCCGGCCTGTGGAATATCCGTCGATTCTGAGGCTGTTCGTGGGCAACGCCGGCAGGTAGAATGACCTGTGGTTGGAAGACGATTGTTCCCGAAGGCTGTTTGGCGATGGCCAAATTCGTGCCGCCGATATAATGATGAATCTAGGCATCCGTAGGTCGGGAGCGGGTGGTGGGTGGTGCCTTATTGTTTGGAGTGGTTGCCGGGGTAACTAGGCCATCCTGGTTGCGTCTACGAATAATTACCTGAGGAACGGACCCGTACTCTGTGAGGTACCTAACTCAGCTTTCCCTTGCCTCCTCCAAAAAGCACGTGATACGTACCTGTGAGGTAAGGGATGTTACATAAGGCAAGACAATGTCAGGCGAAAGGCCGGGCTCGTCCATGGGTGGTGAGGTGCTCCCGTCCAGCATCGGGAGGCGGATCTTTTTGACCCGACCAGGGGCCATACCTTACCTAAGGTAGTGGACCTACCCGACCCAGTTACCTACCTAGGTAGGCTAGGTAAGGTAGGCACCTTAAGGTACCTTACGGAGTTATTCAACACGATAGAGTAAACTACACAGAATAGGGAACAAAACAAAAAAGTACCTTATGGAGTAGATAGGTAGGTAAGCGAGCACCTAAGGTATGGTCTTCTACATACGTAGGTACCTTAAGGTACGGTACCTAGGTAGCGTACCTCGTCAGTCCGCCGCTCCCGCTACCTACAACAGTGAATAATAGGTACCTTAGGTATCGTGGATACCGACCTAGGTAGTCAGGTGCTCGCCGTCCAAGCAGGAAGTTCAGGGACCACTTGACACATCACGTGCTCTCCGGGCTGAAGTTAGACTGTCCTGTCCAGGTCAAGTCAAACCTGGCACCGAAGGTGTCTTCCGTGTCTTCCTTGGCTTTGTTCCCCACACTAGCACGCTATATACCTCAGGTATTCCAATTGAATTGTGCCAGGCACCTCACCCCTCAGGTGCCAATCCGGCTGAGATACGGACAGCACAGGCACGTACCACCCTTACCTCAGGCACCTACCTACCTGACAGTCTGCCGACCTTTGGGGTGCATCCAGGACACTCACACAGTCCAACCCCCCTGCTTGCAACTTGGAGCCTCCACGTCTTCACGTAAACCCTTCAGAGTCTATTTTCTTCTTCTGCGAAGCTGGCCCCCTCAGCACCACATACCTCCTCACGACAGACGCCTTGAACAGCGTCGCACCTTTTCGCCCATCCACTTTACACGTTGTCTCTGTGTCTGCACTTCCAGCAGACCTTGGAGGGAAAGAAAATCAATACGGAAAACCTCGACGTCGCTGTGTCAGTCCCCGCCCACATACCAGCAAGTACCTCACTTTGATTGCGCCTGGTTGACGCCGAACCAAGCTCTCTCCCCTCCTCTTCTCTCCTTCCGCAGCACCTTCATTTGGCCAGATCCAGAGCAGACCCTCTCCCACGCTACCTATCTTCGACACCGCTCTCGCTTTTGCCAACATCCCGCAGCTCCGTTGTCTTTCCTCTGTCGTCAGCCTCGGCCAGTCTGAGCCACCTGTCGCCCAGCTCTTGAACCTCCCCGTCGTTCATGTGGGCGTCTTGGGTACGGTAGTCTTCACGGGCGGCACGATTTAGGAAGTTTTGGCGAAGGCAAGCCTGTCTGAACTCTTGCAGGACAGACGCCTCCGCCTTGCGCACTCCCTATTCGCAATACTATCCCATGGTCCCACATCCAAGATCGGGATCATTCTCTCCGTATCCTTCGCAAACAGTGCAGACCGGGGCTGGGCACTCGCCCCATCCATCGCAACCCGCCGCCTTGAGTGCGGGCGCAAGTCCAAGTACGAGTAGTCCGACAGGGCCCAATCCCGTGGTCAAGATCGCCGTCGCTCAAGTCTACCTCCTTTTGGGAGCTATCAAGGAGGATAAGGACCGCGCCAAGTGGGAGACGCAGGCAGAGCAATTACGAAAGGTACGCACGCAACTACGTCGCCTTCCATCAACTAGGCAGTTTCACATACGCTGTTATCTCGCTAACCAACGCGATTTCTGTCGCTCCTAGCTCATCGATGAACACGGAATGGAGGTCTTCGCAAAGTACTTCACACGCCTCGTCGCGGCTCATGCTGCACACATCTTTCACGGTCAACCGCGCCCCGGAGGCAACGGCAATTTCCACCTACTCGTGAACGAGATGAAGAAGATTTCCCATGATGTCAATCAGGCCAACAAGATTGCCGAGTCCATTGAGACGGGCACAGAAGATATATTCCGCGACTTTGATATGTCAACTTTCATGGAGGCTTTCAAGCTAGATGCCCTGGAGAAAACGATACTCGCATTGGCTTTCAAGATGGGATCTAGGTCTGACCTCAAGACCAAAGGTTCGTTATCCCAGGCGTTTCTCTATGGGCCCTATGTTGACTTTCGTAATAGCGGATGCTATCCTCTCAACCAACTTCCCCACTTTCGTCAACATTCTTAACCAGCGAGGTCACGACGAACATGCGGACCTAACCGATACCTTCGTCGCCATGCTTGTCGATCGCTTCATCCAATATCAACCTCCGAATCTCAACGCCGCTGCGAAGGTTGAACTCACCTACAAGGTGCTTGCTAGATGGCAGGATGCCCAACCGCCACCGCCATCTGAGGTCCTTGCCGCTCTGGATCTTGTTAGGGTTCTAGCTGACAAGCCACCGAATGCTCTGGCCACTTACATTCAGAGAACTGGGTTTGGTTTTACCCGGGACGAGGAGGCTTGCGTGTCCTACCTGCAGAATCGCCCTCAACAAATTCAACTGAGTGAGGAGCAGGTGTCGATGGCCCTTATCTATGCCACGATCAGTCAGACACCACAGTATGACCCGTCCGTTCTGACTGCAGCTCTCCGCCGAGTCCTACCAGCCTCATTCCGATGGCAGGACGTGGTATCGTACTTTGACCATAGATCTACGCGGGTTTCGTCTCGACAGTTCCTCCGTCTCTACAATGCCTTGCTGCCGATTGCGCGGGAGGATGCAGAATTTGATATTCAGAAACTATGGGGCGGCAATTGGGAAAACCCAGAAACACAACTTTCGTTCATATGCGCTTTTGCCTCTCTGCAGCCTGATCAACTAGACGCCAGCTCCATACCGGGCTTGGTGCCGACTCTGACTCTGGATACCTATGCGCAATCATCCCCAGAAATCCAGCAACGGGCATCATTTGCTGTCAAACATGCCTTGGTTTCCGTGGAGGCACTATCTGCGGTATTCCATGTCGCACTCCATTCGGTACATGCTTCACAGAGTGTGGAAGCTAAGCGACTTTTTCAAGAAGTTGTGGTTCCCAACCTGGATATTTTTGTCGTCTCCGCGTTTGGAGTACCAAAGCCTTGGCCCACAATGGCCGTCGACACTCTGAATTCACTGTTTGAGAGTTTTCTCTACAAACGGTCGACTGAACACGACTTCGTGCTTGACAGCTTGTGGAAAAAAGACAAGGAATGGGTGATTCAACGGTTGATCGATGCGCATGCGGTCAAACCAACCGATCTTCCCCTCATCTTCGACCACGCTCTCAAGCACAAGTGGTTGGACGAATTGGTGTACTTGCCGAATGGCTTTGGCTTAGATCTCGCGGCTCTTGCGCATGCCGAAAAGTATCTTGACCTCGCGAGCTGGGCCCGTCGTAACGCCGAGAGGAGCAATGAGATTGCGCGATCGCTGTTGCAATTCTTGCTGATCAAGGCCAACCTTGAGTTGCAATTTCAGCGCCCCCCGGACGGACAACCTCACGTCAAGTCCAGCACGACGCTGCAGGTTCGAACTGTTGCCGCTTTTCTCCAAATTCTAGAGGATTTCCTTCCCAAGACACCACTTCAGGACCTCATCATGGTTCAACGCTCTTGCATCACTGTCTACCCGAGGCTGATCAACTATGGTGAGGGCTTCGATGACATCATTGATGCTAATGGGAAGGACGGTAATGCTTTGCCCCCTGCCGCCAACAGCAAGATGGAGGAGCACTACAAGAAGATGTACGGCGACGAGATCCAAGTGCGAAATATCGTCGAAATTCTCGATCGGTACAAGCACTCTCGCGAGGCTTTGGATCAGGACGTGTTTGCCTGCATGATTCACGGGTTATTTGACGAGTACTCTCACTACGTCGATTACCCACTGGAAGCGCTTGCAACGACTGCTGTTCTCTTCGGCGGTATCATTTCACACAAGCTGATTTCCGATCTCCCCCTTAAAATCGGTCTGGGAATGATCCTAGAAGCTGTGAGAGACTATATGCCGGAGGACTCGATGTACAAGTTTGGTCTACAGGCTTTGATGCAACTCTTCTCGCGCTTTCGGGAATGGCCGGGATTTTGCAGGCAATTACTGCAGATCCCTGGCTTGCAAGGCACCGAGGCATGGAAGAAGGCTGAAGACGTTGTGCGGGATCATGAAGACGAACTTGCCCGATCGCGCAATGGCACAGCAGCGCCTGCCCACAGGTCCTCGGTTAGCGCTGAGCCACTTACGAACGGAAATACATCCGAAGGGCGAAGTGCAGAGCGCCAGCCGCCGCCCTTCATTTCTATCAATGCCACAGAACGCTCGCCTGGCGTCGACTTCGAAGAGCCGTCAAGCGACACTCAGGGCAAGATTCAGTTTGTCCTAAATAATTTGACCGAGACGACTCTTCAATCGATGTGCAAAGAACTGCGAGACATTCTCGAGCAGCGTCACCAGCAGTGGTTTGCCAGTCATCTTGTCGAAGAGCGTGCAAAGATGCAACCAAATTATCATCAGGTGTACCTTGAACTGGTGAAGCTCTTCGAGGACAAGGTTCTGTGGTCTGAGGTGTTGAGAGAGACGTATGTTAGTGTCGCACGCATGCTCAATTCCGAGGCTACAATGCAGAATTCAACCGAGCGATCTCACCTCAAGAACCTTGGCGGCTGGCTGGGACTTTTGACCCTAGCGCGCGACAAACCGATCAAGCACAGAAACATCGCCTTCAAGCAGTTGCTCATTGAGGCTCATGATACGAAGAGGCTTATTGTAGTAATTCCGTTCGTCTGCAAGGTCCTCATACAAGGCGCAACTTCGACCGTCTTCCGCCCGCCCAACCCTTGGCTAATGGATATCATCCACCTGCTCATCGAACTGTACCATCATGCGGAACTCAAACTCAACTTGAAATTCGAGATCGAGGTCTTGTGCAAGGGGCTCAATCTTGATCACAAAAGTATCGAGCCTTCGGGGGAAATTCTCAATCGCGCTGTGGTAGAAGAAACCCAAGAGCTACTCCCACAAGATACACTGGAGACTTTTGAGAGTCTATCACTCAACGGCATCACCACTGGCGTTACTGCCAGCCTCTCGCCTCAGGTCGCTGCAGCTTCGATACCGGACCTCGGACCTCTCATCCACATCCCGCCCACGAATGAGATGGTGGTAACGGCTACTCGACTTCATGAAATTGTACGCACTGCTCTGACGCGAGCACTACAAGACATTATACAACCTGTTGTGGATCGATCCGTTACCATCGCTGCTATTTCCACGCAGCAGATGATTCACAAAGACTTCGCGACAGAGCCAGATGAGAACAGGGTCAGAACATCGGCAATCAACATGGTCAAAGCTACTGCCGGCAGCCTAGCCTTGGTGACATCGAAGGAGCCCCTGAGGGCCAACTTCACAAATTACATGCGAAACTTGTCCAACGATCTTCCTCAGGGCCTCCCAGAAGGCACTATCATCATGTGCGTTAACTCGAATCTGGACCTTGCCTGTAACATTATCGAAAAACAGGCCGAAGAAAGAGCTATTCCAGAGATCGAGGAAATGATTGAGCCCGAGCTAGAAGCGCGACGTCGTCATAGGGTGCAACGGCCTGCCGACCCGTATGTGGATGCTTCCCTTAGCCGATGGGCTTGGACTATTCCAAACCCTTTCAAGTTGTCGCCTAGTATGGGAGGTTTGAACCCCGAACAGATGGCAATTTACGATGACTTTGCTCGTCAGCCTCGGACAACCACATCCAATGCCCCTTCCCATGTTCCGTCTGCCTCCGATGCGACACGTTCGCTCGCCAACGAGGTCCTCCAAGAGCAATTCTCGGCTATACCCAGTCTCGCAGCTAGCTCGGAGACACCGGCTGTGCAGCATATCAACCCTCAACTTCAGCAGCAGTACGGTCCCGTCCATAGCGGAAACATGGCGAACGCGAGGCCGCAGACGTTCCAGATGGATGGTCGCGCCTTGGTCGAGCGCGTCCAGAAGTTACTTTTGGAGCTACAACGTGTGGCGACAGAAGCCCGCGAGGAACATTTCGCCGATTTGCCCAGGCCCCATCCTGTCCTTGATGTGGTGGACGCTTTGGTGCAGCATATGATCAAGGCCTCGCAGACATCTGAGGAATTCGCAATTTTCGCTGCAGACCAGATCATCCAGCTTGTTTTCAGCCCGATTGATGACAATCTTGCCCTCGAGAGTCTGGTGCACGTCTTGGAAACATTGCGAAAAATCTCGGGTCCGACACTAAACAACAGAGTGACGGCATTGTTCCGACAGCAACCTGGCACCTCTTTCTTCCATATTCCCCTGTTGGCTGCGTTGTTACGCACCGATCTTCTGGACTGGAGGAATATCGATACGTCAATGGCCAAGGCACTGCAGGCAAGAAAGGAAGGTTCGCTCGACTTTCTGGAGCAGATGATTGATCTCACTCTCCTTGGCAATCGGCCTCTCGCGCTCTACGGAGACTTTGTCCTTACGCTTGAGGCTGCTTGGACGTGGATTCAAGAAGATTCAGAGTCTGCCGTGGCACAGCGACTCAAAGTTAAACTGTCCGGACAAGTCATGCCACACTTCGAGCAACAAGAAGGTGGAGTCACGCTGCAACAGGACCAGATGGAGTACATTTTCGATGAATGGATCCATCTGTGCAATAACCCAAACGCATCAGATAATTCAGCCGTTATGTTTGTGCAGCAGATGCAACTTAGAGGCATCGTCGAGAGCAAAGACGATCTATTTTTCTTCATTAGAGTTGCCACAGACTTGTCAGTGGATCGATTCGAGCATCTTGTTCACTCTACCGGCACTTTGACCGATGCGTTCCTCGCCGTTGATGCTCTGGCCAAGATAATCAATGTGTTCATTAGGTTGCACAGTGCACCTGAATCAATGGGTGCTCTCAGCCGAGCAGTTTATCTCGACTCGATTCTGGCCCTGATTACGTTGGTCCTCAACCATCACCACGTACGACGTGCCGAGCACTTTAACCAGAGAGTGTTCCACCGTCTGTTGTCCGTGCTGTTCTACGAGATCAAATCGACGGCTGAGCAACTTCCTGAAGAGGAGAGGTCTGAAATATTTCTCAAATTTGGCTCCAGACTTGCCGATCTTGGCCCCAGATACCTTCCTGGCTTTGTCTTCGGGTGGCTGTCACTTCTGCAGCATCGGGTGTTTCTCCCTGGCATCATGAAGGACCGCAATGGCTGGATTGTCTTCACCAGACTACTTCAACTGCTTTTGGAACACGTCGGAGAACAGGTCAAGGCGGTAGAGCCATCAAACGTGGCTAGAGAAATCTACCGCGCTACGCTGAAGCTGCTGGTAATTTTGCAGCACGATTACGCGGAGTATCTTGCAGCGCACTCCCATCAGCTTGCAGCCACTGTTCCCCCGCATTGCAAGCAACTCCTCAACGCCATCTTGACAGCAAACCCGGCTGCTCACCTCAAAATGCCAGATCCTCTATTCCCGGGACTTCAAGTTGATCGTATGGATGAGGTTCGGGAATCACCTGAAGGTCTGGATAACTCCGCATACCAACTGCGGGAATGGGGACTTCTTGAAGTGCTCGATCATGCGCTGCACAATGGTCCTTCCGAAGACATGTTGGCACACGTTGCCCGAGCCATAGTCGACAGCCAATGCACGGAAACAGGTTTTGGCCATGTGCCTATTCACGCCAACCTGAGGGTCATTGATGCTGTGACCTTGCACCTGGGCAACCATGCGGTCGAACAGGCGACGCAGAAGGGCACCGATGTTTTCAACCCCGCCTCCTCAGATGTGGCTATTCTGTTTAGGCTGATTCACGAACTACCTCCCGAAGCCCGTTACTATCTTATCATGAGCATCACAAATCAGCTCCGATTTCCCAACGCCCACACCAACTACTTCAGTCGGGTCCTTTTGGAGGCCTTTGTTGGGTACAAGAAGGATCCAGAGGAACCAGATATCCAGCAGCAAATCATTCGCGTGCTGTGGGAGCGCCTCATCGGATTCTGGCCCCAGCCGTGGGGTCTGATGGTTACTGTTGTCGAGCTGCTCAAGAATGATAAATACAATTTCTTCGAGCTTCCATTCGTCAAGTCAACCCCTGAGGTGAGTCATTCGCGCCAGTGCCCTTCTCGTGATTTGAGAAGCAGACAGCTAATGCAGCCTTCCAGGTTCTTGAACGCTTCCATGCAGTCTTGCAGAGGGCATGACCTTCTCCAGGAAGTGTTGACAAATTTGCACTAGCTTCCAGGTGACGGAATTCCGGAGGAAATGGTCCCTCTCAAGTAATTAAAAAGTGAGGTAGAGAAGCCGAGGATGAAGCGGCGTCAAAGGGGTTGGGAGGGAGTGCTGGCGATGATTTTTAAACAGGCGTACCATGCGGACACTAAAGGACGCAGATGTAGTATTTACATAAATGTAAGATAACGAGAGTTGAGAATTTGGCACGTATGGAAGCCTTTTGGCATTGATGTGATGTATGGCTGACCATGAGTTGTCGCGCAAGTTGGCATTGATTCATGTGGCATCCACAAGTGCGCTAGGGCCGAGGCAATTTATTCTCTAGACGCCTCTCTTGCCAGCCGGATGTGGTACTAGGAAGGAGCAAATGCTTATCGCTAGGTACCTGACTTCATGATAAGTACGCATGGTGTTTCAGGTATCTTTCATAGGCCCCTCATAACGGAGAAGTCTTCACCCCAACTAATGCAAGTCCGCATCAGTGTCTATTTCGTGGTCAAGTCCAACCACGCCCGTCAAATTGTCACTTCTGCTTTTGCGTGAACAGGGTTTTTCTACCTTTCAGGATTTCCGGATGGCTTCTCAGCAGGATCTCCAAGACCTCCTGCGGCTTATCACGGCGCGCAAAGTGCCAATGATGACTGCCATGAGCCAGGTCAAAGCACTCCAGGCTGTGAACCTTCGCAGGTAGGTTCTGGAGGCACTCTTGAAGTAACGGCAAGTGTTGGAGTATGCCTGCTTATCAAGACGCTTCATAGCATTCAGCAAATTGCAGATGCCCTGCCGGACGTGGTTGAGGGTGCCCTCGGGGACTCCAAGACCGCCAGATCTCTCCAGTCCGCCTGCAAGTCGCATCTGAAGCGGCCAGGCAACAAGCGAGCTGGGGATGCGCCAACCAGTAGACCCGATCGAAAGCGGCCGAGAAATGATCCTGGTGCTAGCTCGAGCATTGAGTCGGAGCAGCAGAGCACAGGCCAGGAAGATGCTTTGGCATTGCCCGTCATTACCGATGAAGAGGGCCTTGAGGGAGTGTCCATCTACACCAATCGTGCGCCGGTGATGCTTGCTTTTGCCATCGAGCTTTTGCGGTTCACCATGCCTGAGCAGCCCCTCTCCAGTCGCCTCAGCCTAGCTCAGGCTGTTGTCAGTATCAACTCCAGGTCCAAAGCCGCCAGTCTTGGGTTCAACGACAGTATACCCGAAGGCGTGTCCTGGGGTGAGGGTCAGCCCAAAGTGACAGTCATGGGCAGAAGTATCACCGTTCTTAAACGGGGTGACTACCATGCCCGCTCGGTACACGAGGTGGCAGTGCCAACCGCTATTGCCACGGCCAATGCGAGGTTGACAATGAATGCGCCAAGCCAGATGAGCGTGGATAAATCTATCACTGGGCCTTCCAGATGGACTACAAGCACACAGGTGACGCTCAAGTCATCGACGTTCGTCGCGCGAGTCTCGACCCTAGAACAACCCTCGCAAGTCTCTGGTATTCTCCATTCGTTACTCACATCTGAGCCCAGCTTACAAACCGCAACTCACAATGCATGGGGTTACAGGCTATACCAGGGTGATCGAGACGGGGATGGGAATGGAGATACCCGCGAAGGCTGCGAAGACGACGGCGAAACAGGATGCGGGGAGTTCATTCTACGTCTTATGAGGGAGACAGAAGCGACTGGGGCTATTGTGGTGCTGAGTCGCTGGTATGGAGGTGAAATGTTGGGACCCGACAGATGGAGACTGATGAGGACTTGTGTGATCGAAGCGCTATCGGACCGGTTGAGGCTATCCCAGAGCTCTGCTGGACACGATGGAGCCGCTGTATGGGCTCTCGACCTTCAGCACTTAGCCAGCAACCCGGCTAGGAACAGCAACAGTTCCCAAGGCCACGATGGCTGTGATCGCAGCGTCGGGGTAGCAATACACAGGCCTGAGTCGGCAAGAGCGTACCTCTTGAAAAGCTTCGCCTCCGGGCCTAGTTCGCAGGGGAATAGCAAAGGTGGCAAGACCGGTTCCAAATCAAGACTTGCAGCCAAGGAAGAGTCTGAAGCTGAACTGCGCCAGAACCTTGGGAAATTACTAGGTGCCCTGAGGCTCCTCTTTGAAAGTTGGGCGCCCCAGATATCACCGCAAGAAATGGACCGAAGAGCATGGCAGTTCTACGTGCGAGTAAGACCCGACGTAGAATTGGGGCCATCAGGCTGGGGTGCAAAGGGCTGGCTCAACCTAAACTCCATACTACAGCTACGTTACCAAGAAAAGTCGGAGAAGGCTTGACTAGGACAAATGAGTTTGAATGTGTGACTTGCTGCTCCAGCTTTGTGAGAGGTCAGTCATTCATCTATCTTCAATATTGTGAACCCGCGAAAAAGGCCGGCATCACGTCTGATGAAATCAAACAAGTGGCTTATTATACCGATCACAGCTAGATGGAGGGTCTAAGAGAGCTGAAATAGACCTAATCCTTCGGTACCGGGGCACCCCGATCCGGTCCCAAACCACGGCCCCACCCCGTGCCCAAAGTGACCAGCGGGTTTGCGACAATTATCTTCCAGCACAAGACTTGAAGCTCAATCTTACCTGCCTCACGGCACCCTTTCCCTGGACCCTTGGAAACTGCGGTGCTCGCAGCGATTCGTGTTTTTCAGCGTTTGCTGTAAAATAAGCCGGCGCCATTCCCTCCAGCCGTTGACGTCGGCCAGAAGAAGCGCCATGGTCCCACGCCACGGGCTACGAGGTCGAGCTGGTCGCTTGCCCGCCCCAGTGCTGCCTACCACTACTCATGCTCCTGCTCTCCGGCGCTTCACATCGTCTCGGATACAATGGAAGAAGGACACCTCTTTGAGGTAAGTTGCCCAGACGGAGCAGCTCCTGCAGCACTAACTGTACTAGGAATTCTATCAGACCGTTTGCTCCTCGCTCTTCCCATGCAACAACGCCAAAGTCGAAAACGAACGATCTCGAGACCGCCGACGCAATATTTAGATCCAGAAAAACGTCTCTTTTGGCTTGTGGCATAGTTGCGTTGGGTATGGGCGTTTATGTCAGCACCATGCTCACTTCATGTTGGCTTTCCTCTGGCCGTCAAGGCCCAGAACCTGCTACAGACGCGTGTGCGCCGGGCCAGATTGCCGTGTTCACGGAAGAATCAGCTCGAAGATTTGATGAGTACCTCGATGGGTCGGAATGGATGATGGGGGTTACATCTTTAAGGCAGAAACTAGCCGCTGAAGCCTCGGGGCATGTCCTGGAAGTCGCAATGGGTACTGGCCGCAATCTGCCCTTCTACAATTGGAGCCACGTCGTTCAACAACCCAAATCCGCAACCACGAACGATCAAAAAAAAGGGATCACGACACCTGCGACCATTTTGTCCTTTACGGGTGTGGACATTTCCAAAGAAATGTTGACGGTCGCTTTGGATAAAGTATCCGAAGCTGTCCCCGACCTGAAGGGCGTCGCACCATCAATTGAAACGCAACAGTTGACTCAAGATGGATATAGTGTCTTCTCCTATTTATCGGGCAGACTACGATTCTTTCGCTCTGACGTACATATGTTTGTGCCTGCCCCTATACAAGGTACGGCGGAAACAGCCAAGTACGACACTGTCGTTCAGACGTTTGGCCTTTGCAGTGTGCGAGACCCGGAGAAAGTGATCAGAACTTTGGCCGGTATGGTGAAACCAAACACTGGGAAGATCATTCTTGTTGAGCATGGGAGGGGGTCGTGGGGCATCGTCAATGGCCTACTAGACAGGTCAGCACCAGCCCACTTTCAGAAGTACGGATGCTGGTGGAATCGAGATATTGCCGAAATCGTCCATAACGCCGCTCAATCCACGCCCGGCCTTGAGGTCGTCAAGATCGAGCGCCCTTACCTGACCCAACTGGGAACCACTTTATGGATTGAACTGAGAGTCAAGAACACCTGTTGAGTTTCCCATCCGATGGGAGGATGACGGTGCTGGCGCTTAGCGCGTCGATGGCCATCAAGAAGTGGAAATGGAAGTGCGCCGCAGGTTTAAGACAGGAGAGGTTGGTTTATTTCATTTCAATCATACCCAAGAGCTTCCGTATTCCCTGTTTTCCGTCTCCCTGGCTCATGAATCCCCGCAAAACCTAGCCTTCGTGAACGCATCCATCCTACATTTGTAATACATCTACTAGCACAACATGTCCTTCGATTTTGAAATCATGATGTCGGTGGCTACAAGTTGTTGTGCCCCATCATCTGCTCTTCACGGCAAACCACAACCACATGACCGATCTTGAAATGATCAATGTTCCATTGACCACTTCAAGACGCAGCAACTGTGGATTGGACATGAGATCTCGGCACGGACAAACAAGAATAATTTCTCCAGCTTCACCTTGCACATCACACACCGCTCAACATGAGTCCAGTAAACAATCTAGCTCGTCGAGTTCAATGTTTTCCGGGCTATGATCCCACTCTAGGAGTGCACCTAGCTTCAGCCAGCTGTCCCCATCAGTGTCCTTTCTGGGAGGCATAGTTGCCTTGATAGCAGGGCTTGTCAGGAAGTGGACTGGGGCAACATTGCCATTTACGGCAACACTTTGTCTCTCTTCGAACATGGTATCCTCACGTGACCCTTCATACGTATTGGCCGTCGAGTGGTCAGCAGTAGCTAGTGAGAGTTCGCGAGCGAGTTTGCGCTTCTGGAGCACATCGGCGGTCTGCGTGAATTCTCGCTCGTCCTTTTCGAGGGGAGGCGAGGCACTCCGGTGGCTTCTGGCATACCTCAAACTAGTGGGAAGTGACCCAACAGGCGTCGAAGGCATCGCGAAGTCGTCATCCGCATCGTCAAATTCGGGAGACGACAAATCCACCTCTGGTGATGGACTCAACTCTCTTCGGCGCAAATCCATGTCATCACCGTTCTCAGACCCAGATGCTACACTGGACAATGATGGAGAGACGACGGACCGCTGAACGAGGAGTGGCATTGTTGAGTCGGGAAGGGGCCGTCTCGGGCAGGTTGTGAGGTAAAAGTAAGTTCTGCGAGGATGTACCGTTTCCGACTCCTTGGCTACAGGACAGGGTGCAAGCGTGCTCCAGCACGATCGTTTGACGTAGGCAGCGAGACGTGAGGATACAATGGCGCAAGGATTGGCAGAGCTTCAATTCGTTAGCACACCGCATGGCAAGAGAGTCGAGGACGATGAGCAAGAACCAATGTGAGAGGGAAGAGGCATGGGGGTAGAAGGTGGCAATGATGCGTACTGTTGGACGATAGGCAACTGCTGCGACAAGACAGTCGCCAGCTCCTTAACCAGATGGGGCCTGTTCGCGGTCGCCTGCAGTTGGACGATGACGGCCTCCACAATCTCGTCATTAATCCCTTCCAGCTTGATGTTTATTGATGATGTTGTGTTGCCACAGTCTCCGATCTTGACGTCCTCGGCCGTCGGGGATGGCGGTGGCGTGTGCTCCAGCATGCTTTTCTCGTCGGGGCGCTTGAGCGAGTTTCCTCTGCGTTGTGTCTCGTCACCATGGAATCGCTTCTGTCGCTTGTTCGATTGTAGTGTCACGGGGGGTATGATGGTGATGCGACTCGGTGTGCACTCAGAGATGTTCCGATTTGAGCTGGCGATGGCGGGACTGCGATGGGCATGGCTTCCAGGTACGTGAATTCCCAGAGATGGCAAAGAAAGCGACTTGCGTCGAGTGTTATACGGCATATTGAATGGTGGATTGCTCTGTTTGCTTGGACGGTTGGGCTGATGCTGAGTTGAGAATTGACTGTAGATGGATCGTCTTGCGACCAAGACACTCGATAACAAATAGCGCGCCTGTTGCTAGAATAGACCAGATGGAGTTCCCCGGGTACTTTTCAGGGTCTTTTTCAGAGGGCGGGATGTTTGCTGGGCAACAAACGCTGCGAACCAAAGGCTCCCTTCTCGTGATTTTTTTTTTTTTTTTTTTCACACTTCCCTTGTTTCCGACTGGCTGAACTTTTTTTTTTTCCACGGGACCCCTGGCAAAAGACGTAAGATGGTGGGGTTAAGTGGAGTAGCGGTATTCAGCCCCTGTCTGGTCCTTTGCATAGTAGTACAATACACCCCCTGAAAGTTTGTGAGCGTGGTACTTTAGGCCTGGTTTTATATATAGAAGATCTCCTAGAGGCTAATTATATTATAGTGAGTAATAGGGCTAGCCCTAGTTAGTGCTAGGTGCCCTATATAGTATTAATACTACTATATATTAAAAATATAAATCTAACTACTTAAAAATAACCTTATTAATATATTTTAATATCTAATAAAGCTTTTTTATATTACTACTATAATATATATTTTATAAAGCATTAGATATATTAACTTAAGAAAGTAATCCTCTAATATAATATTTTAAATATAGAGTATAGCTTCTTATAAAGCTAAGCTAATAAGCTTTATAAGATAGGTTTTATTAATTTAGCGCTTTATCTATAACTAAATCTATTTTATAGGTTTAAGTTAAAAATTAAAAAAGCTAAGTAGTAAAATAGTTAGTATTAAAGTTCTCTATTAATATATAATATTTAATATAATAAGTATAAAAATACTTACTTACTTTAATATTTTATATAAAATAAACTAATATACTTTGAAATATAAAACTTTATATAAAAATACTCTATTATTATATAAGTAATAGTTAGAAGAAACTTAAAAGTTAAATAAAAGTATATCTTTTCTAAGAAAATATTATGCTCTTAATATACTTTATATTTTAAACGTATTAAATTTATATAGTTTATATAATTTACTTTTTAATAAGCACTTACTAAAGCTCTTTTAAAAAGTATATAATATATTACTAAATACTTTACTATATACTTCTTTAGTTATATAAGTAGCTAATAAGAGGTTTATATTTAAGAGTATTTATCTAAATTAAAATAAATATAGTATTAATATAAAATTACTTAAAGTATAATAAGAAGTACTTATAAATAAAGCTATAAGGGCGGCTACAGTTAGGTTCAGCGCAGGCAGTTATTCTAGGCCCCTAGGTATATACTGCAATCTTCTTATTAGACGAAGTACTAACTGAAGTGCTCTTACTGGATTTATCTACTGTGAACCCTCTTATAGGGTAGGCTATAAAACTTCCTTAATATAAATAAAGCTATAAAGTACTCTTTAATATAAAGTTATAAAAAGACTTTTTAACTTATAATATATTATTAATATTATATAAATATATAAACTATATTAATATTAAGTAAACTAAATAAGTAAATACTTTTTTTAATATAATTAAAAGTAGAATTTTTTATAAGATGTTTTATAAAAGTTTTCTTTTTCTTATATATCTTAACTTTTATATTTTATAAATAGTATTTTAATATTATTTATAAGATCTTTTTAATTACTTATATAGTAATTTATTTAATTTCTGGCTATTTACTATAATTTTTACCTACTTAGAGTAATAAACTTCTTAATTCTATACCTCCTAATAATATCTATACCTCTTAATAATATATATAGCCTTTAGTTATATAATTACTAGCTTAATAACTTCTTAAGTTTCTAACTACTTCTTCTGATTTTAGCTATACTTATATATATATATATTAATAACTTTACTATCTTTAACTTCACTTTAGTAGTAATATAGTTTATAATTACTTAATTACTTAATTACTTAATTACTTAATTACTTAATTACTTAATTACTTAATTACTTAATTACTTAATTACTTAATTACTTAATTACTTAATTACTTAATTACTAATTATTAATTACTAATTACTAAACTATTAACCTATTATCTCTTTTATATATTACTTATACTACTATTAAATATTATTTTTATTACTACTTTACTATTTACTATAAATAAGTTACTATTATTATTATAGTCTTTTTATTTAATTAAGCTAGCTAATACCTTTATAGTAGCTAAATTATTATTAATAACGCTCTCTCTATTAATTAGTATAAAGTATATTATTAATTCTTATTAAGCTTATACTTAAGCTTAAGCTATATCTACTTTAGTATTATAGAAAGTTTATATATAAAAAAGCTACTTTTTAGAATAATAAGAGATATATATAGTTTTTATACTAAAGCTATTAGGTTTTTTTTATATTTATAATTATTTAGTAAATAAGGTCCTTTAAAAGGTATTACTAAAAACTCTATTTAATATAACTTTAATAAAGTATTTCTAATTAGAGATAGAGTATATATTAAACCTAAAGGGTTTATTTAATATATAAATATTAAGTTTTATAATAATAACTCTAGTTATTTTATTAAAGAAAAATATATTTAGTATAAAAGTAGTATTTTTATATTCCTTATATAGTATAGATATTATAAAGCTTTAGGAGTTATTATAAGTTAATAAAAAAGAAGAAGAAGAGGAGGAATAAGTATTAAGCCTTATATTAGTAAAACTTTTATACTTCTAGCTATAAAAACCTCTTTTAATAACCTCTTTAGTTAAAGGGTTATCTCTTATATAATAGTATTATTAAGCTATAAAAGCTTTAATAACTTATTTAAGCTTAAGTTTATAGTTATAATATAGCCCCTCTATAAAAAACCTATAGCAAAATTCACTCTATATATAAGTATAATTCTATAAACACTATATAGGTATTTTAACTTATACCTTCTACTAATTAAGGAAAATAGTATAGAAACTTTATATATTCCTATTAGTAAGTAAACCCTCTAAATATTACTATATAAAGTTTAATATATACTCTAACTGAATAAACTAATAGAGTAGTAATAATCAGGGTTAGGATTTAGTTAAGTTAAGTTAAGTTAACAGGCTGACTAGGACTAGGCTAGTTAAGTCAAGTCAGCTAAATTAAGTGACTTAACTTAACTAAACTAGTTGACTAGCTAGTCTGACTAGCTAGTCAACTAGTCTAATTAAATTAGACTAGTTATTAACCCTATATATTAAAATATATTTATAATTAGTATTTATATATATAACTTTATAACTAATACTAACTATATATATATTAATAGTTAGTATATATAATATTGTTTTAACGTATTATAGCTAGTTAATTAATTAATAAAATATTAATTTAGTTAACTTATATATAACTTAACTAGTCCTAACTAGTTACTTAGCTAGTTAACTAGGACTAGGCTAGTTAAGTTAAGTTAGCTAAATTAGGTGACTTAAGTCTAACTAGACTAGTTGACTAACTAGTTTGACTAAATACTAGGTGACTAGTTTCCCAACCTTAGTAATAATGCTAATTATATAATATAAAACTAGTAGTAATAGCGCTATATATAGTAAAGCTAATTATATTAAAGCTAAAAAGGTTACTAAAGCTCTTATAGTAATACTACTATAAGAGAGATAACTTCTTAACTAAAGAGGTTATAATATTATTATATAAGAAATAACTCTTTAACTAAAGAAGTTATTAAAAGAGGTTCTTATAGCTAGAAATATAAAAACTTTAAAAGTACTTCTTATACTAAATAGAGAGAGTATTACTAATAATAGTATAGCTATTATAAAAGTATTAGCTAGCTTAATTAAATAAGAAGATAATAATAATAATAACTTATTTCTAAAGAAACTATTATAGTAAAATAGTAAAATAGTAATAAGGATAGTATTAATAGTATAAGTAATATATAAGAGAGAGGATAAGTTAATAGTTTAGTAATTAGTAATTAAGTAATTAAGTAATTAAGTAATTAAGTAATTAAATAACTATAAACTATATTATTACTAAAGTAAAGTTAAAGATAGTAAAGTTATTAATTAATATATATATATATAAATATAGCTAAGGTTAGGAGAGGTAGTTATAGATTATAATTATATAACTAAAAACTATATATATTATTAAGAAGTATAAAGTTAGAAGGTTTATTATTCTAAGTAAGTAAAAATCATAGTGAATAGCTAGAAGCTACTTATTTAAGCTTAATATAATTAGCTTTACTATATATAATATTATTACTACTAGCTTTATATTATATAGGTAGCGCTATTATTATTCTATTAGTTTATTTAGTTAAGGTATATATATTTAACTTTATATAAAGGTTTATTTATTAATAAGAATATATAAGGTTTCTATATTATTTTCTTTAATTAAGGCCTCTAGCTATTTACTATAATTTTTACTTATTTAGAGCAATAGACCTTCTAACTTTATACCTCTTAATAATATATATAGCTTTTAGTTATATAATTATAACTCTCCTAACTTTAGCTACACTTATATATATATATATATAACTTTACTATCTTTAATTTCACTTTAATAATAATATAATTTATAATTACTTAATTACTTAATTATTAACTATTAAACTATTAACTTATCTTCTCTCTTATATATTATTTATATTATTATTAAATATAATCCTTATTACTACTTTATTATTTTTTTATTTATTTAATTAGGCTAGCTAATACCTTTAAAATAGCTATATTATTATTAGTAATATTCTCTCTATTAGTTAATATAAACTATACTTATTAGTTCTTAGAAAGTTACTTTTATTTTAATATTATAAAAAGTTTATTTAAAAAAAGGTTACTCTATAAAATATATAAATATTTTATTAAGTTTTACTATTTAGGCTGTATAATCTAGCTATTTAGGCTATATAAGTTTTTCTAAATACTTATTCTACTTAAATATAATACTTTTTAGAAATTCTTTTTAAATATATTTATATATAACTT